AGAAAGTAACAAAATAAAATTATTGTTATAATCTTATTATATAAATTATTATATAACAATAATTATATAAATTATATTATTAATTTTATATTATTAGCATAATTATTTACATCCTATTATTAATAGACAAAATAAGATCTATTCAAAGCCAACGGACTCGAATTAGATTGCCAACTTCCATTTCTGCACAACACTCTAATGTCTCTAATGTCGGTTGTTACGTAATAATTTCCGCTTGAAGATTATTTATGAATTATCAACGACGGCCACGTATAATGAGAGAGAGCGATGAATCTCTATCTTTCGTAAGCTTATGCAGAATAGACGAGGGGAGATCCGCGCGATCCGCATTTACGAAATCGTGGAGATGCGAAGGTTGAAGAACACGTGCACACCTTAAATTTACAACGTGCGCATCCTAAATCCGGAAAACTCATCGAATTGCAATCTGTACGGTGCCTTTCGGGAATTTGGCATCGAGCCTTCGATCGCGTAATTCTTCACCTTCACAGGCCCTCTCGTAAATCTGCGAAAATCTTGTAAGAATTGGAGAATTTTAAGAATTTCAATATTCGAATTAAATATTAATTCTCTATTTCCGAATCATTTGATGAAAGATCAGCGACGAAAGAAAAATATCATCATATTACGTCTCTACGAGACGTTCCTTTCCTCAATTCATTCGTGGATATTCAATTTTTATGATCGTTGACTTTGCGGGACGTCCCAAAAATCCGAGAAGCAACCCTAACCTCAAAATCGAACCTTCTGGAATATTTCATTTCTTGAAGTGAAAGCAAATTTTCAGTGATTTCTCTTTCATTCGCGAAAAAAAAAAATCAGATAAATGGTATTGCCACCGTAGAAATCTCAATCTCATAAAAATCTCAAGCACGCCGGGAACGAAACCTAACCTAGACATTCGAGGGTTGCCGCGACGAATCGTTCTGGAGATATGAGCAAAAGCGAGATTGTCGAATTCATCCAAATTTTGATCGGTTTAATGCCGTTTTCTCACATCGTTACAGAAAATCGGGATAATTTCGTTCGATGTCGTTTGTCGGAAACAATGACATGAATATATGAGATAATTTCAAAATGTTTTTTCTCTTTCGTTTATATAAAAAATCTTCGCTTTCAAGCAAAACGAGTCTTGCTCTTTGAACTCATTGTATAACAATTGATTACATGACGAAGGTCACTCGACAGACGACCCAATGTTGTTTATATTCATCGAGAAATAGGCTTGCTCTCATAGCAAGTACAACGACTTCCGTTAATTTGCCGGCGGATTGAACCTGTACATTACTATTCACAAAAATAATAATTATAATGATTATAATAATTAGAAACGAAAGATCCTGGTTCATTCAAACAATCGTTATCTTACAATCAATCATTAACCTGTCACTACTGGAATTTCGTCTGATATGGAAGCGTACCTCTTTGTCGTGATTCTTGTTGACGAACTAATAATAAATGAATAAATAAATAAAAACGTAACAACGGCGAGATC